TTTAGACTATGGCTCAAATGGTTTATAGATTAGGGTTTGAGATTTACCTGGAACCTGAAAGTAGGTAAATAATAGCCCCAGACCTCTAAAAACAGCCCAAGGGCTATTGTAATACACATTTTGGGGGTTTCAGGTAGGGGTTCGTGGCTCAGGGGTCGAGGATAACGGTTTGGATGGTCAGGGTTGAGAGACTTGGTATGGGTTTGGCTTGTGTAGAGATTTGTGGGTTGGAGTTTGCCGATGAGTTCTTTTGGGAGGTTTCCTAAACCCGAGGCCCCAAACTTTAAACCGTGTTTACGGATCTTGGGCTTGGAGATGTAGGTGTTCAAAGTTTTGTGCTTAAAGGTTGGGAGATGCGGCTTGGGGTTACAGTTTAGGATTAATAGAGAGGTGGAGTTTGCATGTAAGCATTCCCTTCTTGTTTTTGGCGGAGGTGAATTTGGAGATGTACTTGCCGGCTAAGGGATGGTTTCCTTAGGGCTTGCCGGTACCCTGGTTCAGGTTCTGACTCAGGTAGGCAAGCCCCTAAGGAGGTCTTTATAGATTTCGGGTTATGTCCGTATTTCCTGCCGTAGTGGTATCGGCCTTGAGATTCAAACCCTGAACCCCCAAACCATGGTTCATGCAGTTCTACAGGGCTGACCACGATTAGAGTTGTTCAGCCTTAGGCTCTTCTACAGGGAGGGCCTTCGAATGAAGCCATGCAGTGGCCTAGGATTTTATAGGCTTTGCAATGTAAATCCCCAAAAACACTGTGGGCCATGTGACTCCTCTTTTGGAAGCTTCTGAGTTGAAAGGAGAGGCCAGGAGCCTAAGCCAACACCCCAGAACAAGTGAGCCATAGTCTAAGCTCCTNNNCCCTTTTAAGGAGTTTAGACGGTGGCCCAAGTTGACACAGGTTCGACGGCATCAGAACCCTAGCGCCGCACTTCCGCGTCACCTTCTACGCAACAACAGGCAGGGCGATATGCAGAGCTTCTGGACAGTTCTTTTTTGTCGGGGTTAATTCATGTGTTGGGGCAGTGCAATATGCCCTCATTTTGAGAACTGGGAGCGGCACCAGGGCATTGGACTTTCTAATGGGTCTTGGGCGGCCCTCCTGAAGGGAATTCAATTTTGAAGAAGAGTCAATTCTGCGACGAACCCCGCTCGCAACTAGGCCTTGTTCGTTCAGCCAAAGCCCGCGGGGCCCCGACAAAGGCTTGTAAATGGGGGGAGTAGGGCGGCCCCGTGACAGAGGGCTACTTTGGCCCACTCCCAAAAGATTCGCATGAGCTTTTCTCAGCATTCCCTCGAATTCCAGTAGTGCACCTGCAATGCTACTTCTAACTACTCATGAGCCCCTTAGTAGCCAGTAGCCCTAAGCCAAGTCCCAAGGTTGGAACAACATATAGGGTTAATAGGGTTTACGGCTAGGGAACATCTATCTTCCAGTACCCTCCTTGTACCTCACACAGGGGACACATATGGTCCCTAATAGTGGTACTGCGGCCTGAGTAGAGGGTAGTTGGAGGGTCTATCTTCAGACTTCCACAAACCCCGCGACACTCACCCGCAATCCTGATGTTCATGCTCCACTATGAAGTCTAGGTGTCTCTCTCTCTCTCTCTCTCTCTCTCTCTCACTATCTCATTATCTCTAGGTACATATATACATATCTACATGTATACAGATATTTGTACGCACATACCTCCCAACAATACTGCTCACATACGCACATACCCAGAAATTGGAGATGACCACAAAATCAAAAAAATTGGGCTCGGTAAGGACCCTTATGCTTGACTAGGCTGTCAAAATTGTTTTTTGGTCCTCGAAGTCACAAAGCCCCATATTCGGTACCAAAAGGCAAGTCCATGTATACTTCCTCAGAGAACCCCAAACGCAATCGATATGTAACCCAGTTTCCGTTCACTCGTCCGTCTTTTGTCCTTTGATTCTCCACTAGACCCATACATGGGCAGGCTGGACCATTTACTACATTGCGCACCTCTTGGCCGCCACAAATCCTGCCATCTTTGGCCATTGGGTCTACCCGACAGGACATCCCTTTAGGGGGCTTACAGGAACTATACAGTTCTGAACTGGGTTCTTAGAGTCTTAGAAATTAGAAATTAGATAGCGATTATGTGGGGATGATGCGTAGACACTTTGGCAATTGATTTTGGCAAGTATACGGATCGCCTAGGGCTATCCGGTCTCTATACTAGCCTTGCACATGTCATATAAACATATGAGTATAGTGTAAACTCCTTAAGGGGTTCTATAGGGGATGATACAGGGGAGCAGCAGAGGGGTTATTAAGAGGGATACTGGGAGTTTAGACAGGCTTAAAGCCTGCAAGATCGGAGAGGCAGGCTGCCAACGAGATCTTGCCAAATGCTTGCTAGGAGCTCGATGAGGAGTACCTTTTTGGGGTCCTCGGAATAAGATTTTTAGCGTTTCGGGGTCTATATTGGGGTACCCTAATTTTGGGGCCACCACCATGTTGGGCTTGGGTTTAGGGTGTACCCCCCTCACCTAACATGGAACCTTAGAAGGGCCCTCATACAGACTACTATCCTTTGGATATTGCCCCCTACTCCGTAACTGTTGGATAACAAGTCATAATATGAATATAGAAAAACCCTTCATATGATTCTTTATGCCCATTATTGACTATTATTACTGGGTGGTGGCAGTCCCAAGCTATCATTTTAAACGGGCCACAAAAACCCTAAACCCTCAACACTAAACCCTCAACCCCAAATCCTACATCCTAAACCCTCAACCCCAAACCCAGGCCCAGTGTGAGTTTGGGGGTGGCCAGGCCCTGGGGCTTGAGGTCCAGGATGTTTAGGGTTTAGGGTTCAGGGTCTAGGGTTTAGGATTTGGGGTTCAGGGTTGAGGGTTTAGGATTTGGGGTTCAGGGTTGAGGGTTTAGGGTTTGGGGCTCAGGGTTTGGGGTTCAGGGTTTGGGGCTTAGGGTTTAGGGCTTTAAGGTGGAAGGTTTTGGGAGTTCAGGATTTTTAGGATGTAGGGCTGAGGGATTGGGCTTCAAGGCCACTAGCTGTTTTGTAGC